ACTCTTCTTCCCCATCTCTGGGACTCTGTGGAAATGTCCGTCCCCCCAGGTAAATCCCTGCTCTGCTCCCCCATGGTAATGTCAGGAGTGTAGAGGTTTGGGAAGCATTGGCTGGTAGGGACGTGGGGGTGCTCCTTAGACACAACTATTTACTGTAAGCCAGTATGTCCAGAAACTACATCCGCCTGCGTTAAGGGAGCTGAAGACAAGACTTAAAACGTGGTCGACTGAAGGAAAACAACATGCAAATAAGGATAGAAATCTGCTGTGACCCCATCAGCATTCTAGAGAGCACTGAAGGGGGAGGGAAGGTTCTTGGTGCACGAAGTAGTTTCTGGGTTCCAAAGAGCTTTGCTCGCCTTGTGTGTTAACCACTTACACTGGGCTTAGTGCTGTACAGGGCAACAACCGCCAAAATTAAGACCGGGCGAGCTGAGATGACTAGGAGAGCCAATAACTTGTCATTTCCAAAGTTATTGGCTCACTTCTTGGGAGTGACCTGGAAGAAATGCCTCTTTAGGAGAGAGACCGCCATGTGGGGCGGGGGATGGGTTGGGAAGTTGGGGTTGGAGGGTATTCCATGGATAGGGGCTGGCATGGAAATAGACACCAAGCCAGCAGAGACAAGGGGACAACGGGAATGGTGGCAGAACAGGGAGGCTATAGAAAGGCTCATCTGGTCCAGCATTAGGCTCATCTGCTGCCTCAGTTTACCTTCCTTTAGTTCACTCAAGCCACCACATCACTGGTGCTATTGCATCAACTCTCCCCTTCAGTGCTCTGGTTTATTCACATACAATAACACTCAAAGGTAAATACTCCAACCTTCTTACTTCACATTCAATTGTCATTTCAGTGTGAATCAGGCTCCACTATTCTCCTCGCCCTTCCTCCAGGGCCTCCCTGCTAAGGCGGCTCCCTCTTTCCCTGTAGCTCCTCCCACAGCTCTGAATCATTCACTGACAACCTCCAGGCTTGCTTTATATACAGTGGTCAGCAGCAGGTCACATGCTCTGTCACCTGACCCACAGGACCACAATTCCCAGATCCTTCAGGGAGCTACATATCCCAGCGTGGCTACTTGTTACGGGGCTGAGCCTCACTCTCTATGATGGGAATTCCCAGAGAGATTTGATTATTAGATCATTGCATACGCTAAACCAAAAGCTAAGATCAGAGTTGTAATGGTTCATGTTTAATTCTGATGTTCACATGGCAATTACTGGTGAACCTCTTAAAACTTCCTAAACATTATAAAAAAAAGGGGGCTTAGCCTTGGGACAGGGTTAGCTGGCCCCAGGCTTCCCTTAAAGGGGACAGGCCACCCTGTTATATGGGTGGAGGGAGATGTGATAAGATCAGAGATGTGGACTGGGGTGTAGCTGGGCAGAGCCTTGAAGGCCTGGATAAGAAGCTTAAACTTGAAGTGAAAACCAGAAACCTTATTCTTCTTCCTGTAATTCAAGAGCAATCTCTCCTTTAGCTTCCAGAGGCTGGTCTGGAAGCCAAGCAGTCTTATAGGTACCAGGCAGCATCTCTCTGCAGGGATCATCCAGTTGAGTATATTAGATAAATAGCAGGACAGCCCTTTCAGAGGGTGATCCCTAGAAAGGACCGCACTCAGCTTGTCCGCATCCCCCAGGGCAAGGAGAGTCACATCACACTCATGTAGGAAAGTTGTGTGTATACCTATGGTACCTTCCTTGTGTTTGTCATACTCAGCTCTGGCATCTTCCCGTAAATTAGATTGTGAACTCTTCCTGGCAGAGGCCACCTTATGCTGAGAGTGTCTGTCTATAAAATGCCTCCATTGCAAAACAATGCCATTATCATTGTTATGGGAAATCCCACAGGTCCCAACCAAAATCATAACCCATTTGTACTAGGTGTTGCACATACATACAGTATCTACACAGTGTGATGGGTTGGGTCACAGTAGCACCCTTGGGACTGCCACCTGATGTGCTGAGACTACCTCTGAGCCCGTTTTCCCTGCCAGCTTGGGACTCCAGAACCCTGTCTTGTTGAGCCAGACACTCTAGCCTGCTGCAACACAGACCCATGTTTGAACCATGTCCCCCAAAAGCTGCAGGCTTAACTGAAAACGGCTTAGAAAGTGTTCCTGTCTCTAGCACCCAGACACCCAGTTCCCAATGGGATCCAAACCCCAAACAAGTCTGTTTTATTCTGCATAAAGCTTATACAGAGTAAACTCATAAATTGTCCGCCCTCTCTAACACTGAGAGAGAGATATGCACAGCTGTTTGCTCACCCAGGAATTAATTACTTGCTTTGGGTTAATTAATAAGCAAAAAGTGATTTTATTAAGTATAAAAAACAGGATTTAAGTGGTTCCAAGTAATAACAGACATAACAAAGAAAGTTACCAAGCAAAATAAAATAAAACATGCAAGTCTAAGCCTAATACAGTAGGAAACTAAATACAGATGAAATCTCACCCTCAGAAATGTCCCAATAAGCTTCTTTCACAGACTAGACTCCTTTCTAGTCTGGGCCCAATCCTTTCCCCTGGTACAGGCCTTGTTCCAGCTCAGGTGGTAGCTAGGGGATTTCTTGTGACTGCAGCCCCCTTTGTTCTGTTCCATCCCCTTTTATAACTTTTGCACAAGGCAGGAATCTTTGTCCCTCTCTGGGTTCCCACCCCTCCTTCTAAATGGAACAGCACCAGGTTAAAGATGGATTCCAGTTCAGGTGACATGATCACATGTCACTGTAAGACTTCATTACCCACTTGCCAGCACACACGTATACAGGAAGACTTACAAGTAAACAGAACCATTTACAACCAGTTGTCCTGGTTTATGGGAGCCATCAAGATTCCAAGCCACCATTTATGGCCCACACTTTGCATAATTACAATAGGACCTCAGAGTTATATTTTATATTTCTAGTTTC